TTCTTTCAAGTCAACGCTGTACCTGAGATTCCTTCTTCTGCTGTATATCACGTGACAGTTGTGTAACGCTTTCAAGTCAACGCTATACCTGAGATTCCTTCTTCTGCTGTATGTCACGTGACAGATTTGTAACGCTTTCAAGTCAACGCTAAGCGTGAGTTTCCTTCTTCTGCTGTATGTCACGTGACAGTTTTGTAACGCTTTCAAGTCAACGCTATACCTGAGTTTCCTTCTTCTGCTGTATGTCTATAGATAGTTTCTCACCGCACCGTGCCCTGTATTCCCAGCACTCTACCCCAACCAATGGATGATTGTGGACTACAACCTCTTCTCCCCGGGGATGTCTAAGCTGAAGCCTAACACACTCACTGTCACTGAGCAGCTACCAGACCGTATGGTGACGGGTAAGCTCGGTTGTCATTCAAACGCTCACTCAGTATACCTTGAATGTGTTGACTGTGTAGCAAGAGGCGTCTGCATGTACAGTGACAAGGTAGTTTGTAGTTGGTCGTGGGGTGTATCTGAACAGTCTCTGTGTATGTACTGTGCGCATGTGACAGATAAGCTCAGTTGTCATTCAAATGCTCACTCAGTATACGTTAAATTTGCCGAACTGTGTAGGAAAGAGTGTCTGCTTGTACAGTGGCAAGGTAGGTTGTAGTTTGATGAACTATACGTATATGATAGATAAGCTCAGCTTTCACTCGAATGGTAACTTGGTGTACCTTATCTGTGCTGACTGTGCATGATGATGACTGGCATGTCTGTTGTCACCCGAACTCTATTCACGCTATTTATGATATTTACGCTTATGATATTCACGCTATTTATGATATTTACGCTATTCACGCTATTTATGATATTCACGCTATATATGATAGTTACGCTATTCACGCTATTTATGATATTTACGCTATTCACGCTATTATGATATATTTATGATATATTTACGATATTTATGATATTCACGCCATTTACGCTATTTATCTATTCACGCTATTGGTAGTCCTTTCGCATTGGCGTGTGGTGTGTGATGAGCAGTTGTCTGTCTGTGTGAAGCAATGCTCATCCGAACACGGAGAGGTCGGTTGGTACGCTGTCGTCGTATGCGCATTCATATATCGGGTGCGTGTCCACAAAGAATATTAAAAAAAGAAAAGTATCATTCCATATAAAACCTAGCATACCTGTATCTCTTGCCACCTTCTTGCCCTTGGGAAGTCTTAGCGCTTTCTTTACTTTCTGTTACAGGGGACGGGACCTCTCGCCTGAGCGAGAACGGTTTCTGGCCCTCGTACAACATACCGTACTTTAAGGAGGTCTGGAAACTGTCGGGCTATCCAGCCAAGTATATGAAACTAGGCGACGAATTCTCGTACGAGTAAGTTGGGTGTTTCTTCTGTCTGTGCTGGAGGGGTGATTGATTGTGCAGTGTGTATAGCCGACAGTATACTGATGTTATACCGGCGCGCTCATCGCTGCATCAGTCCAACGGAAACAACTGAACCGGCTCATGTCCACGCTGTGTTGTCATGGCAACGTATATGTGCGGCAGTTTCATTGTATGATGTTGTGCTATCTGTGCGATAGTCTATGCTGTTCAATAGCGTGTGCCCTTGTTTCATGCCATGACCGTGAGCACTATTCAGCGGTGCATTTGGGCCCTGCTTCTTGTACATTCATACACGTGTGTAGTTACATGGGTAGAGGTGTGTACAGATACTGGATGGTCTCTGATGAGTATAAATTGATTGAACATATCACCCACCAGGGGTATGGATGTACATTCCAGCCAACCTCTGGTGTATTCGACTGCCTCTGCATGCACTGATTGTGGTTCATTCCCATACAGCCAATGTCCACGGGCTAAGATCTTCAAGCGAGAAGCGCCCAAGGTCAACTCCATGGACGACGCCAAACGACTCATCCGCTACAACCACTGGCAAGACGATCCCCTCTCTCTCAAAGACGCGAGAAACTCTATTGCTTCGCGCTATGATCTGTCGCCCAAGAACCCATCGGCGTTCGGGGCCGTGGATGGTGTGTTTATGTGGTTTATAAGCCCTTGGATGTGTATGCTCATAATACACCCAAATAAAAAACTCTATTGCTTCGCGCTATGATCTGTCGCCCAAGAACCCATCGGCGTTCGGTGTCGTGGATGGTGTGTTTATTTGGTTATGTCGTGGTGTGGTTTATAGGCCCTTGGATGTGTATGCTCATAAAAGACCCAAAAAGAAACTCTATTGCTTCGCGCTATGATCTGTCGCCCAAGAACCCGTCGGCGTTCAGTGTCGTGGATGGTGTGTTTATTTGGTTATGTCGTGGTGTAGTTTATAGGCCCTTAAATCTGTATGCTCATAAAACACCCAAATATACTATTTGTCAACCCATTGTTTTTTTTACGTGGAAATGTGGAAAAGGATTAAAATTATGCGCTGTGCCGTTCGTTCCAGCCATCTACCGTACTTATACGCTGTACTATCTGCCTATCCACTTATACAACATTCAACACCCCCCCCCCCCCCCACCGCACAGGTAAAATCACTAACTGGGTTCAGATGCGCAAACTCAAGGTGACCGCTGTGTGCGGCCCAACCAGTAACGATCAGCCGGTATTCCAATGGTCTAAGAGCAAGTACAACAGCACAGCCCACGCCGGAGTACCCGACCGATTCGACTTCCCTTGGGTCAATATGACGATGAAGTTTAAAAATTGAAAGTGGACTAAGTAACGTAGATCGAGGACTACATAGTGGCAGAGACGGAGATTTAGTCCAAACCAAATCCCTTGTCGATGAGTCTGTAGTCCGATAGTTTAGGTGCAAGTATAACAGCAAAAATAAAAAACACGATGAGGTGTACGCCAGAGTCGCTTACCCTCGGGTCAATGCGACGATGCAGTTTGTTTATGTTGGTTTAAGTTGATGTGGTGTGGTAGGTAAAGTAGGCCGAGTACTCCCGCGGGTCAACGCGACGATGCAGTTTGTTATGTTGGTTTGAGCTGGTGTGGTGTGGTAAGTAAAGTAGGCCGAGTACTCCCGCGGGTCAACACGACGATGTAGTTTGTTTATGTTGGTTTAAGTTGGTGTGGTGTGGTGTGGTAGGTAAAGTAGGCCGAGTACTCCCGCGGGTCAACGCGACGATGCAGTTTGTTTGAGTTGGTTTATGTTGGTGTGGTATGGTAGGTAAAGTAGCCCGAGTACTTGTGGGTATTGACATATAACATGAATATTATTCATATAGAGTCTATGATCGCCAAGTAACCCGAGTACCAGTTAAATCTACAATACAGCTTGGTCACCTTCTAAGTCGATCAGGGCCGCAATTTAATGTGGGAGTGAGTGCACACGCACAGCTCACGATAGTTACAAGTGATGCAACTCGATGTTCTTGGGTCACTAAATAGCAGATATACTTCATGGATAGGATACCTAAACTAAAGCTACCCGGCTGTGTCCATACTTTGCATTAAACTTAATTCAATTGATTGTGTTCCGCTGTCACCTACCTGTTTCGAATTTATTGTTTTCGTTGTCGCTTTACTTAGTTGCATTAGTTGTTCTGGTTGACGCTCTACTTGATTGAATAAATTATCCTCGTTGCTATACTTAATTGATTCTCGTTATCTATACTTGATTGAATCCGAGATCCTTATACTTGTTTGAATTAAATTTTCTCGTTGTCTATACTTATTTGATTTAAATATACTCGTTATACCTATACTTGTTTGAATTAAAAATTTTCGTTATCTATACTTGTTTGAATTAAATATTCTAGATATACCTATACTTGTTTGAATTCAAAATTCTCGATATCTATACTTGCTTGAAATAAATATTCTCGTTATCCCTATACTTGTTTGAAATAAATATTCTCGTTATCCCTATACTTGTTTGAAATGAATATTCTCGTTAACGCTATACTTGTTTGAATTAAATATTTTCGTTATCCCAATCCACCTGAACAACATAGAATGATAGTCCCTACATTTCATATGCCACTGATGTCCGAGTTGTCCCTATACTTGTTTGAATTGAATATTCTCATTATCCCTATACTTGTTTGAATCAAATATTCTACGTATTCCTATACTTGTTTGAATTAAAAATTATCGTTATCCCTTTACTTGTTCGAATTGAATAGTCTCCTTATTCCTATACTTGTTTGAATTGAATATTCTCGCTATCCCTATACTTGTTTGAAATGAATATACTCGTTATCCCTATACTTGTTTGAATTAAAAAAGATTTATCCCAATAATTGTTTGAATTAAAAATTCTCGTTATCCCTATACTTGTTTGAAATAGTTATTCTCGTTATACCTACACTTGTTTAAATTGAATATTCTCGTTATCCCTATACTTGTTTGAAATGAATATTCTCTTTATACCTATACTTGTTTGAATTAAATATTCTCGTTATCCCAATACACCTGAACAACATAGAATGCTAGTCCTTACATATCATATGTCACCGATGTTCAAGTTGTACCTATACTTGTTTGAAATACATATTCTCATTATCTCTATACTTGTTTGAATTGAGTATTCTGATTATCCCTATACTTGTTTGAATTTAATATTTTCATTATACCTATACTTGTTTGAATTGAGTATTTTCATTGTCCCTATACTTGTTTGAATTTAATACTCTCATTATCCCTATACTTGTTTGAATTAAATATTCTCATTATCACTATACTTGTTTGAATTGAATACTCTCATTATACCTAAACTTGTTTGAATTTAATACTCTCATTATACCTATACTTGTTTGAATTAAATATTCTCGTTATCCCTATACTTGTTTGAATTGAATACACTCATTATACCTATACTTGTTTGAACTGAATATTCTCCTGATACCTAAACTTATTTGAATTGAATATTCTCATTATCTCTTTACTTGTTTGAATTGAGTATTATGATTGTCCCTATACTTGTTTCAATTTTATATTCTCATTATCCCTATACTTTTTTGAATTCAATATTCTCATTATCCCTATACTGGTTTGAATTAACAATTCTCGTTATCTCTACACTTGTTTGAATCAAATATTCTCATTATACCTATACTTGTTTGAATTGAGTATTCTCATTATCCCTATACTTGTTTGAATTGAATACACTCATTATACCTATACTTGTTTGAAATTAATACTCTCATTATACCTATACTTGTTTGGAATGAATATTATCGTTATTACTATACTTGTTTGAATTGAATATTCTCATTATCCCTATACTTGTTTGAACTAAATATTCTCCTTATACCTAAACTTATTTGAATTGAATATTCTCATTATCTCTATACTTGTTTGAATTGATTATTCTGATTATCCCTATACTTGTTTGAATTTAATATTCTCATTATACCTATACTTGTTTGAATTGAGTATTTTCATTGTCCCTACACTGGTTTGAATTTAATATTCTCATTATCCCTATACTTGTTTGAATTAAATATTCTCATTATCACTATACTTGTTTTAATTGAAAACTCTCAATATACCTATACATGTTTGAATTGAGTATTCTCAATATCCCTATACTTGTTTAAAATATATATTCTCGTTATCTCTACACTTGTTTTAAATAAATATTCTGATTATCCCTATACTTGTTTTAATTGAGTATTCTCATTAACATTATACTTGTTTGAATTCAATATTCTCGTTATCTGAACACTTGTTTGAATTAAATATTATCATTATCCCTATATATGTTTGAATTAAATATTCTCACTATACCTAAACTTGTTTGAATTAAATATTCTCGTTATCTATAAACTTGTTTGAATTAATTTTTTTTGTTATCTCTATACTTGTTTTAAATAAGTATTCTGATTATCCCTATACTTGTTTTAATTGAGTATTCGCATTATCATTTTACTTGTTTGAATTTAATATTATCATTATCCCTATACTTGTTTGAAATTAATATTCTCGTTATCTCTACACTTGTTTGAATTAAATATTCTCATTATCACTATACTTGTTTGAATTGAATACTCTCATTATACCTAAACTTGTTTGAATTTAATACTCTCATTATACATATACTTGCTTGAATTAAATATTCTCATTATACCTATAGTTGTTTGAAATAAACATTCTCGTTATACCTATACTTGTTTGAAATAAATATTCTCGTTATCCCTACACTTGTTTGAATTAAATATTCTCATTATACCTATACTTGTTTGAATTAAAAATTCTCGTTATCTATAAACTTGTTTGAATTAAATTTTTCTGTTATCACTATGCTTAAATATTATCATTATGCCTAAATATTATCATTATGCCTAAATATTATCATTATGCCTAAATATTATCATTATGCCTAAATAATATCATTATGCCTAAATATTATCATTATGCCTAAATATGTTTGAATTGAATACTCTCATTATCCCTATACTTGTTTGAATTGAGTATTCCTATAATCCCTATACTTGTTTGAAATAAATTTTTTCGTTATCTCTACACTTGTTTTAAATAAATATTCTCATTATCCCTATACTTGTTTTAATTGAGTATTATCATTATCATTATACTTGTTTGAATTAAAAATCCTCGTTATCCCTATACTTGTTTAAATCAAATATTCTCCTTATTCCTATACTTGTTTGAATTAAATTTTTTCGTTACCCCAATACTTGTTTCAATTAAAAATTCTCGTTATCCCTATACTTGTTTGAACTATATATTCACTTTATACCTAAACTTGTTTGAATTGAGTATAATCATTATCCATATACTTGTTTGAATATAAAATTCTCGATATCCCTATACTTGTTTGAATCAAATATTCTCCTTATTCCTATACTTGTTTGAATTGAATTTTCTCGTTATCCCTATACTTGTTTGAAATGAATATTCTCGTTATCCCTATACTTGTTTGAACTCAATATTCTCGTTACCCCAATACTTTGTTGAAATAAAAATTCTCGTTATACCTATACTTGTTTGAAATAAATATTCTTATTATACCTTAACTAGTTTGAATTGAATATTCTCATTATCTCTTTACTTGTTTGAATTGAGTATTATGATTATCACTATACTTGTTTGAATTTAATATTCTCATTATACCTATACTGGTTTGAATTAAATTTCTCATTATCCCTATACTTGTTTTAATTGAGTATTCTCATTATCATTTTACTTGTTTGAATTTAATGTTCTCATTATCCCTATACTTGTTTGAATTTAATATTCTCGTTATCTCTACACTTGTTTGAAGTAAATATTATCATTATCCTTATACTTGTTTGAATTGAATAAACTCATTATACCTATACTTGTTTGAATTTAATACTCTCATTACCACTATGATTGTTTGAACTAAATATTCTCATTATACCTATACTTGTTTGAAATAAATATTTTCATTCTCCCTATACTTGTTTGAATTAAAAATTCTCGTTATCCCTATACTTGTTTGAATCAAATATTCTCCTTCTTCCTATACTTGTTGGAATTAAATATTCTCGTTACCCTAATACTTGTTAGAATAAAAAACTCTCGTTATCCCTGTACTTGTTTGAATTGAGTATTCTTATAATCCCTATACTTGTTTGAATTAAATATTATCGTTATATCAACACTTGTTTGAATTAAATATTATCATTATCCCTATATATGTTTGAATTGAATACTCTCATTATCCCTATACTTGTTTGAATATAATACTCTCATTAGCCCTATACTTGTTTGGAATT